GCGGTTGTACATAAAAGATGATGGGAATAGGGAACTTTAATGTATATTCATCAAGGCAATCCGTGTGTTTCTGGGAAGTTTTTAATGTGACTTTCTGGGGCAGTAAATGTTCTCCTGCTTTGGGCATATTTATAGCTGTCACGGTGTTGTGACAGCACTGTAGATAGCTACTTCTTCTGCTGAAAGTGGTCTAGATACAGCAATTCAGTGACTGCAATTCAGGCTAAGTCCTAAATATTTATTGGCTTCCTGGGTAAATTTTATAGCTTTCACTGAACTCCAGGTTTTTGTGGCTAGGCTGCTGATGGTATAAAAGATAACTAGTTTAAAGATAGCTCGGGTGTGTCTAAATGTCATGGTTTAGGCTGGACTGGCCAGTAACGAATTCCATCGCTTTGGGTCAGGTGCCATCTGTCAGCCACTTACAATCTGACAATGAAGCTGGTAAAAACAATACCTGTTTTAAACGCCAGGGAAATACAAAGCAGCTGCCTTCGATGACACTTCACTCATGACACTGACAGCAGCACAAATGCATCATTTTGTATTCCTAGAGTTTCCATCGCTTTGGGTCAGGTGCCATCTGTCAGCCACTTACAATCTGGCAACAAAGCTGGTAAAAACAATACCTGTTTTAAATGGCAGGGAAATACAAAGCAGCTGCCTTCATGTTTCCCAAAGGTAGGCCGTTTTTATCCAGAAAGTGGTGTTTGTTTGGTAAGACTCTACCACGTAGACAAACTCTCATCTCCACTATGCTTCTGAAACACGAGGAAGAGTCTGCCCCAGTCACTAAAAGACAATAAACTACTCACAGAGAGTGAGATGCGTAGGGAAGAGTCAGGATTTGACTAGTGGCACGGTCACAGCACCAGTACAGGCTGGGCAGGAGTTTGAAGACCAGTTCAGCAAAAATTATGACTGAATGATTAAATTACTTTCTCTGCAACCCTGGCCATCCCACTTTACTTTTCTGTTCTTACTCTATTAAGCCTTCCATCTCCTCTTTCTTAGTGTACCGCTGTTTCAAAATCACTTTGGAATTTGGTGTCGTCTGCTTTGCAGGAGAAGAGCAAGGTGGTATGTTCAGCTGTAAATGACCACGTTTAACATGCAGATTGCAGCCAGTCTCTCTCCATCCTTAAGCACGTGGCATGACCAGGTTTGTTCCACTGCAAGAGCATGGTAGAGTGTGCGTAGCTCACTGCCCTTTGCTGTGGGGTCAGATTTAAACTCTCCGTGATTTGCTTCATTTGTTACTGGAACTTGAGATACGGTAATTTGTGGTGGCAACCAAAGTAGCAGTTGTGGATTCCAGTTTTCACTCATTCTGACTGGTACCTTCCTTCTTTTCTTTCTTTCTTCATCATGCAGCGTTGAACACTATTTACTCAGCTGTGGCCTGGAGACAGGAAGGAGCAATGTGGTCGTGCACCAAAACTGCCCTTGTTTATTCCAAGCAGCTCTTGGCAGACAACATGGTGCATGGGCAAATGTAATTTTCTGCATGGTCTTCACTGACCTTGCTGTAGGGAGTAGGAAAACAGTCATCACGGCAAACTGTAGACACCTCCTAAGGTCTGCGGTGATCCCCCTTCCTGTTTAATAGGTACCCATGTGTAGTTTGAGAAACTGATATGATTTATTGGTCAGGCACTTGGGGTGTCTCCAGGCTGAGTTATGCTAAAAGAGCCTGCCCGCATACTTCAGTGACTGATTTGGTGCCATTTCTCCAGGCGTAAGAAGCAAAGGCCTTTCTTTATAGAAGGAACTTCTCTGCACCACTTCAGCTTTGTATGTAGTTCCCATCTAAACAGACCATTTGCCCTAAGACTAAAACTGTAATTCATTCCACTCATATTGACAGTGAACTTCACCCTCTGATGTGCTGGCTGAAGAGGATCTCTGCCACCCCTTCCCCAAGTCTTTTTGAGCAGACTTCTGCTTTGTTCTATGTTGTTCCGTTGGTTTGTGATGGAGGAGTAAGGATGATGCTGTGACTTGGCATGAGGAAGGAGGCAAAGAAGACACCATAAACTATTATGTTTTTAAAGTATGTTATTTTCAGCAAGTGAGAGATCTCTATTTATGCCTCAAAAGTAATGCTTGCTTAGTGCCTGGTCACCATCTCAAGGTGCTTTTGTCTAGCAATCTGAAAGTGCAACTTTCTCAGGAAACCTCATCCTTCAAAAAAAATCCTTAAACTTCTCCTTCAGGGGGAGAGAAGAGGAGGCTAAGATTCAGAATTAATGAAAAGGGGCTTTGCTGATGAAAGTGGGCAGATTATCCTCGTGGAGCCTGTCTGTTCTGACTGCATGAGAGATGCTTTGTACACTGCTGGACTCCACGCTGTCAAAATCTAAAGGGGATCAAAGCAAAGCAACAGATATGATGTGGCTTGGGAGGGAGGGAGGTAGAAGGTAAGATGAACTTAAACATATTTAACTTTAAATAAATACAGTTATCAGTTAAATGGATTGAATAAGATGCAGTATGAAGTTATTATAGGGGTCTGTTGACAAATTGAAGGAAAAAATAATGGAGAGCAAGGTATAAGGTAAGAGGAATTTGAACTTAATCAAACAGAAAATGTAAATTGAGTATTGCATAAAGCTTCCAAATGGTGTGATTCCTTCGGACCAACATATGAACTTTTTAGGCAAAAATTGGAAGTATAATGCCCAGCGTTATTCAAAGCTAGACTTAAGTCTTGAAGAATAGTTGTAAGAGGTCTATACTGATCTCTTCGATTATGAGAAAATGTCTGTTTTGAAAGAGCCTTTTAATGCTCAACTTCTGTTTTCCTGTAACCTGCTTCCTACGCTGAGCCTGTTGAAGATGATTTTATGAAACTTGCATGTAGCTTACATGGTCAGATAGTGTTCTTAAGAGCTTAGGACCAAAATCTCTATTGCTATCCATGACTGCTGATCTAACAAAATAACAGAGAAGAACATTTTCTTTCCCTTATGTGGTGGCATGAAAGAGAAATGGAGAGCTGAAAATTCGGTTAAAAATATGCATCTTCTTGGCCATGATAACTGGGACTTTTTCAACAATATTCTTTTGCAGTGATACATAAAACTTGGTGATCCTTTCCTTGATGAAGTTCCTTCAAGGAACTGATTCGCTAACACTGCAGGAGAAAAATCTCATCATTCCACTGGATGCCACGATGAACCCAAACTCAGACATACGCTGACTGAAGGACCCAGGCAGCAGCTGCAGCAGAGAGAGGCCTCTGGTTTGTGTTTTAGTAAGAAATGGCAATACAAAACCAGTTACGTTGCCCTCCATATTCTCACAGACATCTGTAATTTCAGTGCAGTCACAGAAATTTAATTCAGCTCCACACTCAAGTTTTGGAAGCAGAGAGATTCTGATGTGTTTATCCCTACGGTAGAACAAGTTGCGCAAATCCCTGGAATGGTTTGTAGTTCTGCACAGGCTGAGACATCCTTGTGTTATAGCAGAGTTCTGACTGCACAGTTGGCTTTTCCAGCCAGAGCTAAATCACCTTTTCATAGTATGACCCTAAACCTAAGGTGCTTCATTAGACAGAATGTCCTCGCAAGAGCAGTGCAAAGTATAGTACTCTAGAGAGTGTCTATAATGCGTGTCAGAGTCTGGCAACAGTGTTTTTCAGCTATAGGGTTTCCTGAGCTAAAGAGAAAAATCCTAGTGCTCTCTTCTCTTTCTTCCCCTTCCCTGGCCCATAACGTAGGTAAAGGAAAAATCTCTAACTTGATTTTGGTGTGACGGTTCTCCTGCAGTATTTCTTTAGCCAAGCGTTGAAAATACTAATTTGTCTGGGTTGGATGTCACAGAGAAATGTCCCTTTGATTCTGCATACCTGCCTCTTGAAACATCCGACAAAGGCGTAGCATTTTCCCTTTCTCCTGCTTTTGTTGAGCTGCCAGGCTTTGAGAAGGTGGGGAGATGCGCAGAAGTGGTTGTTATCCTGGGACATTATTGATTATTTAGGTGGGAGCCTAAGGAAGGCTGAGGTGTGTCTGGGGCAGAAGAACTCATACTCTGTACCTCGGTCCTAATGCCTGTGCCCTTTGGATCCCCTCCCTGACTACTGCTTGGCTCTACTTCCACCCCTGGCTCGCTCTTCCATACTTTGCATTCTTCTGTATATAGAAGTACTGCAAAATTGCTGCTGTTCTGCTAGTCTTCTCCTTAACTCCAGTCCACAGCCTTTTGGACTATGAACATACAATCATGTAGGGCTTTTTGACCAGTGTGTTTCCATTCCCTTGGGATCCTATGAGCTTCCCTAAGAGTCACCTCTTTTAGATTCCTCCTGCCGAACCACAGAGGCCTTTCTCGACCAGTCTTTCACAAAGCTACTCTGTAAAACATGGATCATTTGATTGGTTTTCTTGTGTTTTTTGGATCTTTGTTCTGCGCTTCCTATAATACAGTGACCAGATTTGTACACGTTATTCCAAAAGAGACCATCCAGCTGCCTCACGAAATGCCAAAGTAATAACGTCTGTGGTTTATACTTCCATACACAACCCAAAACCCTTGTTTGCCTTTGTTACTGCTGCCAGATGTTCTGTGGATGGTTTTCAGGCACATTGTGGTGAATGTCACCATGCCAGTGAATTTCAGCAAATTTAAGCAACTTTGAAATCGTTCCTTTTTCCACATGGTTATATTCAAGTCAAACCAAACTGTGTTCTCACTTGAAACTGCCCTGTTTTGGTTACCTCTTTTTCACACTGAATCATTACCTGTTACCAGTTTCTCTGTAGGAGTCTTTTCCATAGAATGTCCCCTTTATCAGGCCTCTTTCTGTTTGTCTTTGCTGGAAACTCCATCTGCAAAGCCCAGCTCTGAGCATCTAGGGAGCAGTGACACAGTCATTAGCAGCCAGTCTACTTGAATTGAGAGTAGAAGGCAATATGAAGTTTTTTCCTAGAGAGGAAGCAAGGGGAGGGAACAGCCTGTACAAGAGTTATGATGTTCTCACCTCTCTTTTCCTGCAGATCTGCTGACAGCACAGGAGTACCACTGCCTGCTCCAGCTGCTCTGCCCAGACTTCCCCGTGGAACTCACTCAGAAAGCAGCAAGGTGGGTCCTCATCCTCTCTTTTAAGGCAAGGTCAGTCTTAGACACTTTGACATAGGAACTAGATCGGTTCTTAAAGGTATGGACAGGGACCTTCAGCTTTTAAGATTTTGGGGAAAGGAGATGATACCATGTTTTGAGGTAAGAAAAGGGTTTTTTTTCTAGCAATGAGAAAAAGTCTACCTTGAAGGTATGCAGGAGCAATATATACCAGTACAGAATGCTGCTGCTGGCTCTGCATTCAGAAGATGAGTTTTCATGTAAAAGAATGTTAGCCAATGATTTTAAACTCTATTTCAAGTACTGTTTACCATCTTTAAAATGTGTTCCCCTTCACTCCAGCTTCCCATGGTTGATCACATTGAAAAAGTACTAACCTCTGAAGGACTGCCAGTGTTTAAAAGTACGTTAGCTAAGAACGTGGTTTGAAATCTGTTTGAAATTTTATTGTAATCTAGGCAAGGCCTAAAGCAGATAGATGGCTCAGGGCGCTGATAATGTGATATGGAATTTTTTACTGATAGTGCTTGCTGGTTCCGGTCCAGCCCAGGCAGTTGATTATTAACTATCTGATAGTGAAAATGTAATAAGGTCTATGCATCTGCTGGGGTGGGGGTGTCAGTTCAGATCTCAGTAGGAGTGCACACACACACACACACATATAATCACAGCGAGCTTACTGAATAAATGCTCATATTCCTAGCCATCTCAGCAGAGGGGATATGGAAATTTAGCTTTTTTCAGGGGCCTAGATATGACATTTGGAAACAGGATCCAGACGCATGATCGGGATATTAGCTGCTGCCTATGTTGTTCATGGCCTAAATAATGAAAAGGTCCTCGTTTTCTATTTGTCATTCTGTTATCTTTCTTTAGCATCAGAGTCCCATGAAAATTATATTAAGGAAAGTGAAATAGAGAAGTGTTATCCATCTGCTAGTACTTCCACTTGGCTGATTCTCTGAATTCTTCCCTGGCTCCTATTCGCTGCTCTCCGAGCAGCTAAAGCTGTGTTTGTTCAATTAAAACTACAAGCTGAGCACCACTTTTCCCTCTATAGCTCATCCGTGGGCCTTTGGGGCTCCGCAGAGTACAGTTACTTGGCCTCCAATGCCAGACTGAAAAAGAACACTAACCCTGTAGCAGGGATTTATCTGCTGTTTCCTTTCATGGAGGTCCACGAGCACCAGTGCCGTGCGCCGGTGTGTCTTTCATAGGGTTCCAGCTGAGCTGAGCAGGAATTTGTGATGGTGCATGAAAGGAGGCTTGCTCCAGCGTATCTACACATGTTATGATGTTTGTGTCAAGGAATTTAATCCACAAGGCTGTTGTAAACTCGAGGCCCCAGCCAGGGGCCTGCTGCGCTGCTGTGCGTGTGCCGCGGAGACAGACAAGCCGGCTCTGGGAGCAGGTGCTGGAGAGAAACGAGATCTCTGTCAGAGGCACCCAGGCTCAGGTGGGGATGACCTCACTCCTGCTTTTGGCCAGCTAGAGATTTGCTTACACATTGCTATTATTCCGTTACGAGCTAATCTGCTCGAGCAATTTGAATAGAACTTGACGTATTTCTAAACCGTCTTTCTCTTTCCTTCCAGCTGTTGCTCCCTCTCTCGTCCTTTTTCTGGGCTACCCTTCCCATTGTCCTCCTTGGTCTCGGGCAGTTAGGAAGGCACCTCTGCAGGCTGTCTTCTGGCTCCAGTTGATTGAGTCCTTGCAAAGCATGAACATACAATCATAGAATCATAGAATGGTTAGAGTTGGAAGGGACCTTAAAGATCATCCAGTTCCAATCCCCCTGCCCTGGGCAGGGACACCTCCCACTAGAGCAAGTTGCTCAAAACCCCATCCAGCCTGGCCTTGAACACCTCCAGGGATGGGGCAAATATCACATGCAAACCTACCAACATCATTCCTCCTTCAGTCTGTGTACCCCTAACAGTTTTGTGGCTAATTAGGAAAGGAATTAAATAAAACAGCGTCAGGAGCAGCCACAGCATTCACTGATACAGCCAGGACCTGTGGAATTATTGGTGCTCTTGGAAAGAGAGTGGTTGTAGCTGTAGTCTCAATGCTTCCTGACCGAGATGATCTGATAGCAAGGTGCACCCTGCTTGTCCAGGAGCTGTTGCTACACACTGATAACAAACACTGGGGGTAGGATCAGAAAATGTCAGAGCAGAAGAACAGAGGCCACAACAATATAGGTTTGATTCACCTGACAGAGAGCTCCATTTTTCTGTTACGAGTGCCACACAAATGCACAAGTCGTACCCAAAAAAGAACCAGGCTATATCGATACAGCCAGGACCTGTGGAATTATTGGTGCTCTTGGAAAGAGAGTGGTTGTAGCTGTAGTCTCAATGCTTCCTGACCGAGATGATCTGATAGCAAGGTGCACCCTGCTTGTCCAGGAGCTGTTGCTACACACTGATAACAAACACTGGGGGTAGGATCAGAAAATGTCAGAGCAGAAGAACAGAGGCCACAACAATATAGGTTTGATTCACCTGACACCAGAGAGCTCCATTTTTCTGTTACGGGTGCCACACAAATGCACAAGTTGTACCCAAAAAAGAACCAGGCTATATCTGAGATTTCTTGGGTGGTTTTTTTTTTTTTTCTTCAAAGGGTTACAGCCATTAGCAGGTTGAAGATTTTAATCTACAGAGATACCTTTGATCTTCAGACGTGCTTTTTGCCTTTCTGAGTCTTGAAATTGCAGAAGGAGGGAAAATGAAGGGATTTTTCTGGTTTCATACCGTGACTCCAAGATCTATACCTGAGTACTGACTTCTTTCTTACAGTAGAGACAGAAGGAACTTGCTGCCCACGTTTGAGCAGCGAGAGGTGAGTGGTTCACAGCTCATATGCTGTTTTACCTGCTACAGGAGCTCACATTTCAGTGCTAATGGAAGTGGGGCTTGCAAGTTTCACAGCTCATATGCTGTTTTACCTGCTACGGGAGCTCACATGTCAGTGCTAATGGAAGTGGGGCTTGGAAGTCTGTACCCAGTGGTTCACAGCTCATATGCTGTTTTACCTGCTACAGGAGCTCACATTTCAGTGCTAATGGAAGTGGGGCTTGCAAGTCTGTTGCTAAAAGGTTGCCTGAGAGTGGCAGATCTTGCCCTTTTTGTATGTTCCGCTTATTTTTGCCTCCCCGTATCAGTAAACAAACCAAATCCCTGCAGGCTCATTAGAGGCAGCCTGGCCTCAAGACAGATCGTGTCAGTTAGCCTTTAATGGTAGCAGAGAACACTAAAACTCCTTGCAACTTGCCTGGTCTAGAGTTTGTCCCGGGGACATCGTGTCTAGTCTGGGTTTCTGAGATTTTAACCGCGATCAGGAGATGGTAAAGTATCCCCATTGGCACAGGAGCAAGGCTTTCCTGCCAGCCAAACCCACTCGAACCCTGAAAGACCACTACACCCTTTACCAGAGTCCCTCAGGTGTAGGCATCTTTCTTCAGTCGTTTCCAAAGTTTCTCCTTCGTTTTCATTATTCATTGAGTGCTGACTACTAACTTTGTAAATAAGTCTGTGCCCCTGAGGGCTTAAAAGTCTAATTTGGACAAGAAAGAACGAATAAAGAATCTCTTGAAATATCAGCTACCTGGTGAACTCTTTTGGAGTTGCAGTTCAGGCTTTTGGATTTCATCCTCAGTTTTGGTCCTGCTGTCTGAGTTACAGTCCATGGCTCGGATTCTCTCCATGCCAGATATTTCAGGGCAGAGGTGCCGATACGTTGCGTATGATGGCCTCCCAGCTCCCCTGACTGCTGGGTCAGCTGGCTACGTGGGGAAATAGCCAGCTGCAGTCAATCTCCTCATAAATGATTGTATTGGATTTAAAGACTTCTCAACATTTCCGGAGTGCAGGCTCCTGGGCCAAGTGGAGTCAGTAACCCAGCACCAGAGTGCACCTGCTTCTACTTAGACGCTCCTCCGTCACATATGTGCTCTACAGCCTTCCTTAGAGGCTCCTCGCTGTCTTTTAACAGCAAGAAATGTCCAGCAAATCCTCAGGTCTCTGCCTGCTTCCTCAGGATCTCTCTTCCAAGAAAGTGACTGGGGCTTGGGTGCAGCAGAGCACAAGCCATTCACCATCAGCTTTAGATTTTGCAAGTTAAATGAGTTGATTGTCATGAAGGTGGTGTAATATTGTCTCTCCACGTAATGAATACATAAAAAAAACCCTCTCCACTGTTGCTCTCCTGCATCTCCAGGGTGGAGAATTGCACTGACAAAAGCTTTGGAGCTTGTTCTTTGAGGGTATCTGGGAGACAGACCATCATTTCAAAGGAGGAAGCGCCGCTCATCAGCGATATGGCCCATTGCGTTTCCAGCGCTTAAATAGTGGTTGGAAACGGCGGTGGCTGAGCAGTATTGCCTGAGAGATGAAGATGCTCTGCCTGCCAGCTTCAAAGCCATTTCCTTGATGTGGCCACTGACAATCTCAGTAACATGCTTATTAGTGAGAATTAAGAACTGAAGCTACTGCTTCTTTAGACAGGAGGAGGAGGCGGCTTCTGGAACATAATAAATAAGTCAGAAGCACTTTGACATCTTCAAAGGGTTTTGTTTTAAATACTGGTTTTTCTCCTGGGGACCCTCTTAGCCCCAGTCTTTCTTCTTTGGGATAATTAATTCAAGCTGCTCTGCATGTTTGATTTTGCCACAGTGAACAGAACTGGTCTGAGTGGCAGAGAAGTCTTGCAAGATCCTATAACTCTTCTAGGTCAGCCTCCCACACAGCTCCCTGGAGTCTTTTACATGAGACAGAGCAGTGGTTCTCCAGCAATGTGTTTAGACCATTGATGCTGCAGGAATTGGTCTGTGGATTGCATTTGGCCCCGTGTTCAAAGGGGTCCTATTAGGTGATCTGTACTTTGGCTATAATGAGCTGATAATCCTTCTCATGCGAGATGATATGCCAGATACTGACTGTACAGCGTCAGTAGACCCGCACACAGTTTTAAAGAAGAACCAACCACCTTTCTTTAGCATCCTCTGAACACTCTGTTTTTTCCCAGAGAGGTGTTTCCTTCTCTTTTCCAGTCTGAGCTGGATTGTTTCCTCACTTCAGAGACTGACCTTTTCATCCTTATTTAGTGGCCATGAATGGAGCATCGGGCTTTTTTTAATATTATTTTTATGAATGTTTTTGCCCTAACTTCTTTCTGAAATCCAGAGTTTATTCCTGAAAGGAGGAGTTGGTCTTTGCTATCAGTCATACTTCATCGTTATGGCTTGTGATTGATACTTTTCATATTCAAGAAGTATGCTTCAAAATAGGGTGCATGCAGCTTCCTACAAGCACCTCAGGCATATCAAAAAGAAAGAAGACATTGTCCCTGGCCTGAGAAGTCTTTAGTTTCCATGGAATTTGACCTGATAGTCAAATGATAGACCTGATATATATGAAAAGAGACTGATTTATTCATTGGGGAGGGAGAATAGGATACTCACAGTGTGTAATTAGAAAGCTGATTGTTGGTGTGGTGTTATTTCCTCTGTAGTCAAGCGTAGTTTGTTCGAGTATAGATTGGGAATAGATAACTCTTGTTATCCTTATGAATCTGAAATATCCCAGTTTGATAAACTCAGGTATATAGAGGAATAGCGTAAGTCTCGTTCTGCTTTAACTGGCATTAAACACCAGTTTAATGCTCATGTAACTGTCTTTAGCACAATTACTCTTTGTCTAGCCATGTGAACCAGCCTTGCAGTTTTTGTGCCAGCGTTCATCCCGTCGTGTCCACCAGGCTTTGAATGCTTGGCATCCGTGTCACACTGCTCTGTTTATGCTGAAGTGTATGATAGCATTGACACTCAGGATCCTCTCCTTGCTGCAGGTTTTCAAGCTGTCTTCATTTGATATTATGGTGTCCAGGTCCACGCAGCAGTGGGTGTTCTCGTTCCTCTCTCCTGTCCTCTTACGCTGGGCCAAGCCACAAGAAGTCCTCAGTTGCACAGAGCTCCTTAACTGCACTTGCTCTAGACGTGGTGTTCCTGCTTACAGACTTTAGTTCTTTCATAGATACTAAACTACTTCTCTCCTCTCATCCTAGGATTGTGCTGATGGATGATGCTGTGGATTGCCTGATGTCTTTTTCTGATTTCCTCTTTGCTTTCCAGATCCAGTTCTACTACTCAGGTAAATACTGGGAAGTGGATGACTTCACCCACTAGTATAGCACTACAACCTTACAGTTTCCCAATCCCTGCACTTTTTTGAAACTTGTAAGGATATGGCTTTTCACAGAAAATATATAGATAATGGAATCTACTGATGAAAAGCTTCACTGATGCCAAGAGATTGGGAGGCTTCATTAAGGAGGTTCCAAATCTTTGATATATAGATAATGGAATCTACTGACGAAAAGCTTCACTGATACCAAGAGATTAGGAGGCTTCATTAAGGAGGTTCCAAATCTTTGTGAATTACAAGATACCTGTAACTGTTATGGCTTATGCGTGTATTTGTCTTAGCCTGGAGAAATGCCTTTCCAGCTCTATCTAGAATATGTTTTCACCCACTAGTATAGCACTACAACCTTACAGTTTCCCAATCCCTGCACTTTTTTGAAACTCGTAAGGATATGGTTTTTCACAGAAAATATATAGATAATGGAATCTACTGATGAAAAGCTTCACTGATGCCAAGAGATTGGGAGGCTTCATTAAGGAGGTTCCAAATCTTTGTGAATTACAAGATACCTGTAACTGTTATGCCTTATTCATGCATTTGTCTTAGCCTTGAGAAATGCTTTTCCAGCTCTATCTAGAGTATATTAGCACCTAAGAATTTACTTTTACTAGGAACATTTTTTTCCTTACCTTAATAAAACATTTCCCCCACTAAAGTATAGGTCCCTGCTGGAGACAGGATAAGAAAAGCCCACCAGCTAGTGCCTTGAAAGGAAAAGGACCTGGGCAAATAGATAAAATCCTTGCCCCTAATACTTGCCTAACTATGAGCTCGTTTCAGCTCAAAGAGTTTCTGAAGGGGGTACAGTTGCCATGGACGTAGGAACCCCCAGTGGACTCCTCTCCCAAGAACTTTTCCAGCCTCCCCTTGAAGTCACATAAACCTGAAACCTCCATAACACCTTTTGGCAAGGAGTTGTTGTCTGCCACCCTGCCACCTGTCCCATGAACAGCCACCTCTCTTGTTTGATTTGAGAGCCCCTAGCTGGAAGGGAAAGTGAACAGTTAATGCCCATTGTTGGTCAATTATCATATTCTACCCCTCTTCCCCAGTTTGAGTTTTAACTACACGGGGTTCTTGTTTTAAAATTCTTGACAGGAAAAGTACAAATCAAATAATATTAGTTTCTGTGTATGTGTGTGTGTTTACATATGCTCACCCACACACGTACATCTGTAGAAATCACCAGGTGTTTTTAAACTAAAGTTCAGGAGACAAGGGGGAAGAAAGTTGGATGAACATTCAGGTCCTTTTTCTGTACAGGGAGGCTGCTTTAAAATACACGGGACCGGTTGTCTTGTCATAGAATCATAGAATTGCCCAGGCCGGAAGGGACCTCCAAAGGTCATCTAGTCCGACCTCCCCGCAGTCAGCAGGGACACCCCCAACTAGACCAGGTTGCCCAGGGCCTCGTCGAGCCTCTCCTTGAATATCTCCGGGAATGGGGCCTCACCCACCTCCCTGAGCAACCTGTTCCAGTGCTCCACCACCCTCACAGTGAAGAACCCTCTCCTCATCTCCAGTCTAAATCTGTTCCCCTCCAGCTTGAAGCCATTTCCCCTCATCCTGTCACTGCAGGCCTTTCTAAACAGGTTCTCCCCAGCCTTCCTGTAGGCTCCCTTCAGGTACTGGAAGGCCGCTATTGTCGACCCTAAAATGTGGTTGAGGAAAGGGAATCTCATTCAGAGAACTGCTTAGGTGGGCAAAAAGAGGGATGCTTTTCCTTTATCGAAGTTAAATATGCTCCCAAGCACTGGGGGCTGCTGGGGTGCCACTTATCTCCCAGCACAGAGCACTTTCTGAAGGCAACATCAGCTCCTGGATTTCTGTGCACTCGCATTTAAATAGCTCCCTCTGATGGATGTAGCTCACAGTTGGCCTCGACCAGGCCAAAGGGGCCAGGTTTGGATAACGGGAGACACTGGCTAGAAGCTGTGGTGGTGTGTAGTCTGTGGTCAGAGCGTAGACTTGGGTGGCCTAGGCTGATCTGATCCAACCTGCCAGTTCCCATCTCTCTAGCAGTTAAGAGTCAGCCCCTATCCCTAATCCAAAAATCTCTTTTTCTCAGTGCTCCTCAGTAGATACTTCCCTGTGAGCACGGCAACATTATCCAGCACAATCCACCCTAGAAAAAGAGTTCAAAATGGTAATTTTGGGTTGGGCAGAACCAGGCTTGTTAATGCCTTTAGCCAGGGATGGCAAATGTGTTTGGAAAGTTGTTTTTTTTTGCTGGTATAAGAAATATTTCCACTGAGCTGCAGAACCTCAGCAGGGCCTCGGGGCCTGCTCACATCCTGCCTCTCCTCCTCACCCGCAGCATCACGCTTCCCTTCGCTGGGGACATTAAATGCCACCGCAGTCCTCACAAGCCTGTCCTTGTGTACACACACACACACACACACACCCCGCATCCCCTCCGTGTCCTGCTCACCCAGGCACAACGCACACACGCAGCCCGTCACATGCTTCTCCCACCAACCCACACGCATGCGAACCGCTCCAAATGGAATCTAGATTTGTAAACTGCTGACCACAGCCATAAACAAACTTGTTTAAAATTAGACTCTTGCAGTAAACAGTGGGTAGTATGAGGAGCCTGGGGAGAGGCTTTCTGCCAACTCTAGCCCTGACCTGCCCTGGCCCTTCCTCTAGATCCCGTGTTATATTTACTTTGGAGGAGCACGGAGACAAGCTGGGATACAGCCTGGAGCCCTGGCTAACTTGCTGCCTTTCCTCCCATTGCAGCTCCATATAGTTTCTTCCCAACTTGGACGAGTTCTTAATCAGTGGCAAGAGAAGGTGAAGGAAAACTTTTTAGACTTTGCAAACTAGTTTTGTGTTCGACGTTAGCTTCTGCTTTCTGCTGTTTTATCCATGTGCTAGCCAGCCTCTGTTCCCTTGGGAAGAACCTCCTTCAACAGAGCGAGCGGCCTCTCGTAATCGTCCCAGAGCGAGTGGCCTCTCATAATCATCCTGACAGAGAGAAGCCAGCAGCTTTTATGGAAATAGCTGGTTTTGCCTGCATAATATCTCATCTGAATATGCAGGATGCCGTAGCACTGTGCTTGTTTTCTGCTGGGGCTATGTACAGCACAGAGCAGGGTAGGACAGTTTAATCCCACGTATGGTAGGTCAAGAGGATGCTTTACTGGTAACAGCCCCGAGTTTTAAATCACTTTATGGGTGTTTTTTTTCAGAGTTCCTGGAAAGTGTGGCTGCCATTTATCAAGATCTACTGGCTGGTAAGAATCCGAATACTGTGATTGTGCCAACATCATCCTCTGGGCAACATCGGCAGCGCCAGCCCCCAAGTGACTGCAGCCCACTCGAGGGGGTAGAGGCATCTCTCTTCTACCAGTGCCTAGAGTCCTTGTGTGACAGATCAAAATACAGGTACGAATGGAGTCCAAAACACAGATTTGAAGTCTGTGTCTCTGGACACCCTTTATAAGGTTGGAACTGTGAAGAAATGCAGGACTTTGAACAAGGGGTAACTCCCAAACAGATGTCATTGGGGGAAGTATGAAGGGAGAGATCATAGCTGAACCACTTTAACCAAAGGAGAGAAACAATTTAACAGACATAAGAAACATGGGATTTGAGCTGATTCTTGAAGCAATGGATTGATTGGGGTCTCTGCTTTCCTTCTCACTTCTGCATTGACACTTTCATCAAGGAGAGGTCCATCTATCATCATGAGTTAACTAGAGGAGATAAGTACAGATGTGGTCTTGGGTGTTGAAGCGTAGGAAAGGACCACTGAGGTGGATGGAGTTTGAAGCCTCACTACCTGGAGAAGATCACACTGCTAGTCTGTTGCCAAACCTGTGATGGAGCTGGTCTCCAGTTACAGATCCCAGGCACAAGACTAGCCTTTCTTCAGCAGGGGATGGAACAATACCAGATCTTATTGTTTAGCTTTGACAGACACTTTCTTCATAGTTTCTTGTAGGTAGCAAGCATGTGCCCTGCTAGAAGGTCATGGGCCAGTTCCACAAAAAGATTCAGGACACAAGTTCCACCTGATTTCTGCTTTAGATGCCTGGATCCAAATTTGTGATCCACAAAATTACTGCTGAGCTTCTCTTTAGTACTATACATACCCAGGCATGGAGATACCAGGTTGTTTTCTTCTTTTAAGTAACAAAAGCTCTACATTCCCAGTATGTCCTGAGAGCTTCAGAAGGAAAGGATGCTGTGAGCCTGCCTGGTAGGTCATGCTCTGCACAGCACTGTGAGGGGAGCCATTCCCAGCCTTTCATCCAGTAGCCTGATATTCAGCCAGGCTTTGGTAACCACCTTCACCTGAGGGATCAGCAGCTCACACCCACGTCTCCCAGGGGTGCCACTACACCATGGAATGTTCAACACTTCCTCTTTATGAGGCAGTTTTATTTTGCATGAAATCCTTTAAGGAGTATTGGGCAAGAGCAAGAATCACTCTGATGGTATGGCTTAGAAGTCAGGGCCAGGGTTTAAGGTGAGCATAGAAAAAGAGTCTCCACCTAGATACTGTTTTCTGACTTATTTAGGCTATCATTGGAGAGGTTTTCCTGCCCCTTGGATGACTATTACTGATAAAAGGGTGATAACAACATAACAACTCTCATGAAAGTGTATTTTCTTCTAAAAGAAAAGATTTCCCAGTTGATTTTTGCCAAAAAAAATATGCTAAGAGTTGGGATGTGTATGCCTCTGAGTGAATCTAGGCTTTCCTCCCTGTCCTTGGAATGGAGACAGGTACAGACTGCTCCTAGAGATGTACCCCACCTCTAACATTGTGCTTAGTTAAATGGGGAGCAGATGCAATGCTAAATAAGCAAGCTGTTGGCTATTTGTTTTAAATTGAGTCAGGGCAACTTGACAGTATTAGAACAGGTAGAAGGCTTTGTTTCTCCAGTTTGAGCTGGGTGTGGGGGGAAAAAAAATAAATTTAAAAGACAAGATGGCTCTTGAGCAACCTGGTCTAGTGGGAGGTGTCCCTGCCCATGGCCGGGGGGCTGGAACTCCATGGTCTTTAAGGTCCCTTCCAACTCTAACCGTTCTATGATTCTATGACCTCTTTGTCTCTTCTCCTAGCTGTCCACCTTCTGCTCTTGTGAAGGAAATGTTGAGTAGCGCACAGAGACTGACCTTCTATGGATTCCTTATGGCACTTGCAAAGGATCAGGGGATCAACAGAGCTCTAGGTAAGACTCCTGTGAATGGTACAGCTCTAGATTTTCAGTCATTCTGCATTTCTGTGGAATTTCCTCTGTAATTATGCCCCAGATTTTACACTGTCAGGAAGAGTGTAAGGGAAAGTTTTTCATCTTTTTGTTGATGGATTAAACTTTAAAAATGTAATACTGTGCCTTATTGCCTGCTTGAAGCTGTGGAGCTTCTGCAAGGATAAAACTAGGTATGAAGTGCTGCCCTAAGATAGCAATGTTTTTACCTCTTCGGTAGCTGATCATTTTAGCAGAACTGTCATTTTAACATGTTTGGCTGTAAATGTTGGGCAGAGGTGGTCAGGAGATAAGTAAGGTGGGTGACTGCTGTCGACAGGACTGAATTGAAGTCCCATCCTATCTTTTAGCCCTTCATTCTTTCACAGATTTTAAGTGACTGGTCTCATCTACAAAATGAGGCACATCTAATGGGAAAACCTCTGTTGTCTCCTTGACTCAAAGCCCAGTCTTTCCTCATCTTCCCTCGAGGCAGTGTGCTAATCTATGGCCTGCTGAAAATCTGGTGGTATCATAAAACACAAACTGCTACAAAATTCAGTACCAGGCTGAGGGGTTACGAGGCAGCATCTCACTGCTCGTTTCCATATTGTGCTGACCAACGTTGTTCTAGAGCAAGGAAGCAAAGTGTTGCGTTGGCAAAGGACAGTATGTTACCCATACATAATTCAGACTCATAATTCCATATTGCCCCCCATATGCCTCACTTGTGCTCTTCCTCCTCTTGCAAATGGAAAGGGAAACGTTTTTTTTGTGTTTGACAAGGCTGTATCCAGGAAGTGTGGAGGCCCAAACGCTCATCTTGCACCTGGGCTGGAACAATCCTCGCCATCAGTACAGACTGGGGGGTGAGGTATTAGAAAGCAGCCCTGAGGAAAGGGACTTGGGGGTGCTGGTGGACGAGAAGCTGGACATGAGCAGGCAGTGTGCAGCTGCAGCCCAGAAGGCCAATCCCATCCTGGGCTGCATCAAAAGATGTGTTGCCATCAAGTCCAGAGAGGTGATTCTGTCACTTTGCTCTGGTGAGACCTCACCTGGAGTATTGTGTGCAGGTCTGGAGCCCTCAATATAAGGAGGACATGGACCTGATGGAGAGGGTCCAGAGGAGGGCCACAAGGATGATCAGGGGGATGGAGCACCTCTGCTACGAGGACAGGCTGACGGAGCTGGGGTTGTTCAGCCTGAAGAAGAGGAGGCTCCGGGGAGACCTAATAGCAGCCTTCCAGTACCTGAAGGGAGCTACAGGAAGGCTGGGGAGAACCTGTTTAGAAAGGCCTGCAGTGACAGGACGAGGTGCAATGGCTTCAAGCTGGAGGGGAACAGATTTAGACTGGAGATTAGGAGAGGTCACTGTGAGGGTGGTGGAGCACTGGAACAGGTTGCCCAGGGAGGTGGTTGAGGCCCCATCCCTGGAGATATTCAAGGAGAGGCTCAACGAGGCCCTGGGCAACCTGGTCTAGTTGGGGGTGTCCCTGCTGACTGCGGGGAGGTCGGACTAGATGACCTTTGGAGGTCCCTTCCAGCCTGGGCAATTCTATGATTCTATGATTCATCTTCACTCAGCAACTCATCTGGCAGGGAAGGGTAGACTTTCTCTGTCTTTCCACAGGGATCCTCTCCCTCCGCTTCTAGGCTTGAATATCTGCCAGTCCCTATTTTACAAAGACAAACCTCAGTGAAAAGGTGTACCTTCCCTCAGGGCTTGTTCTTCTTTTGCACAGGTGTGTGTCATAGTAGAGTAGAAGTGTCCCCTCCCTGGCTGAGCCCCTTCTTACAACAAACCATTCAAGCTGGTAATGCTCCTCTGGGGCAGGGCTGCTTACCCAAGCAACGTGGAGATTATATATCAAAGGTGTGTGAGTGCACCCCTGCAATCCCCTCTGCAAACAGGCTTAGGAAGCAGGGTATTCACTGGGGAAGGTGATGCCTGGATTGCAGGAGGGATTCTTTGCCTGCTGTCTTTTAATCTCTCTTTGAAGGGTGATTTCAATAGTCTGCGCTCTGTAGGGGATCGCAAGCTCCCCAGAGCCCTTCGGCAGGGGCAGTTTTCAGGCAAAGGAGCTTTCAGTCAGGATACCTGCCTTCTTTCTGGTCTCACAAAGCCAGTAGCCCCTCCTTGAGGAACAGGGGCAGGGATTAGAGCAGCTTGTTTGGGTCGGGGCAGCGCTGATGAGTTTGTCTGGCCAGCCTGGAAGCCACAGCCCAACTCCAGTATCAGCAGTGATTCATGAATCCTTCAAGTGTTATTTCCTGGCTCTCCTGAGTAATTCTTGTGCCCTAGAGACCTCACCGTGCCTTCTGCAAATGCAGAAACAAGTTAAGCTTATTCTTTTGATGGATCACATGAAAGGGAGCAGGTTGGGGCACTTCACCGGACCTCCTGACCCTCTGTGTTGTGGTACCAGGTTTCCCTTTTCATTTGCAGGAGAGGGAAGACCAGAACTGGAAGAAGTGGGGAAGTCTGTTCCAGTCTAAACTGGATCTAATTTGTAGGCACTCATTACTAGACTTTTGATGGCTGCTGCCAGCTTGCCTGCATCAGGCTGGTGGCTCTCCAGCCCCTTCTTCAAGAGCAAGGTGCCAGATTTGTGTCCCCACAGGGAGTACAAAGCCCCATCCCAAAGGTCCTGAGTGTAGCACTCAGGTCTCCTGATAAACACAAGCATTCCTCACTGCACTGGTGGTACAGATTACCAGGTGGGTTTATTTTTTGTCCTAGTGTGTGGCGCTGCCCAGGCTGTGGCAGTCAACTCCTGTCATCTCTCTGCTGGCTGATCACACCCTCCCGTGACCCTTGCACAAGGTGGAGCTTGTTACAGAATTAGGAAGGAGGGCTTTCCTAAGAACCCCATCTTCTTTTCTGGTCTCTTCTTGAGGTGCCCAAGTGTCCTTTTAGAGAATGGCAAAGATGATCAACCAGCTGTTCCAGTCCTGAACTACACCGTGTCCTTCATCCCTGAATAGGGTTTCAAATGTGAAAGGGAACATGCTGACCTTATGCTGAGAGAGGCTCAGCCTTTCACACTCTCACCCAGACAGCAGGCCGTGCTCGAGCACGGTCCATCCACGCTTACTCCTGTAGAATTAACCTGCACCAGAGTCAGGCCTGACTTTCCTGAATTGCAAGGAAAGCACTAGCCTTACATCTGTGGAGTGTTTTGATCCCCAAGCTCAGTGCACCACAAGAAAGGCAGGTGGCACCAAAGTATGCATGGGATAGAACATGCTTCAGGCAGTGGCACGAACACGTCTATTGCTCTGATAGGATCTGGGACTGGTGACTACAGAGGGCGATTAGCAGAGGCCCAAAGCCAACGGAGTGTCATCTCCTTGACAGTCAATACTCAGTAATTTCATATAGTGAACAGAAACTGCCAACCCTTAGAGGTCTTCAAGTGCTCTGGGAGGTGAGACTACTGATTGTGGAGTGCCTCCTGGTGCTCAGCTACAGCCTGTGTGAAGGACACAATACGGACCATCATTATCTGCCCGTGATCCTCAGTGCGCAGCGTCCATTTCTCTAACAGAGGAATTCTCTTTGCCCAGAGAAGCTGTGGCTGCCCCATCCCTGGAGGGGTTCAAGGCCAGGCTGGACGAGGCTTTGAGCAACCTGGTCTGGTGGGAGGTGTCCCTGCCCAGGGATGGGGGTTGGAACTCGATGATCTTCAAGGTCTCTTTTCCAACTCTAACCATTCTATGATTCTATAAGGAAGTCTGACTTGCAGGGTGGATTTTGGATGCTGCTATGGTTTAGTGTTTTTCTTTAAGAATGAGTAGTCTAACTCTGCTCTGATACTTTCCTTTGTGTTTGTTTTTTTTTTCCCCCCAGGGGCTTTGCCAGATAAAGGAGACTTGTTTGTGGACCCTGCCATGGATGAGGAACTTGAGAAATTGTAAGTGGAGTTGCCTAAAGTAGGAAGTAAAGCGACAGATTAAAGGTAGCATGCTAAAGAAGACTTTAATAAAGTACTGTCCCTATTATTTTGCTCTACCAAAAAACACTAGAGGAGCTAGCAGAGCAGCCAGAGCAGAGGGGGCCTCTTTCTTTGGAGTGCCTTGGTGCAGCTAACAAAAATCCTTAGAAAAGGCTTCAAAAACAGAGGGGGAAAGTGTGCCTCAAACAGGGGTCCAGAGGAAGCAGCAGTCTGTAATGAACATGGGAATTTTGTTTGGATGGTGAAAATGAGGAGTGTTGGAGGACACAGGCCCAGCCCAGAAGAAAGATCTGTTTAAACAGCAGGAGTTCCCCCTCTGTGTCATGAACATCTTTCCATCCCTGTGCTCGTTGTGAATAAGCCTTCCTCCCAGGTTCACTCCGAAACTGCTAGGGTAAAGGTTGGAGATGACAAGTGAAGGCTGCCTACCATTTGTCTTTTCTCTTTCAGGGTAGCTCAGGTTTCGGGGCTTTCCATCTCCGGTCCCAGCAGCTCCAGTGGGGACGCAGCTAATTTGCCCGTCCGTCACTCACCCAGGATTAACTCTCCCTGGAAACCTCTACACCACCGGCGAAAAATGGACACGGAGAGTGAGGGCTCCAATGAAGAGACTGATTCCTCTGAAAACTGAAGGTTGTGAAGATGGGCACCATTCATTCCCACCTTGGGTTTCTCCAGAACCCGCTGGAGGACCAGCACCTCCTCCCAGAGCGTCTGCTCTGACGGTGGGTCCTGTCCTCATCACCAGTGTGTGTTGTGTGGCTGTGCCAGTCCCCGTTGCCAGATCCACCCCTCTCTTCCCAGGAAGAACTCTGCCTTTTCCCCAGCTCCAAATTGGTGCAGGAGTAGCTCCTCTGCAGAAGCTATTTCCAGCTGCAGAGTTAGGCTACCCTCTGCTGGCAGGCAGGACGGACCAGCAGATGCCTCCCCTTGAGAAATAGCAGGCTCTTCTCCCAGCAAAGTGGGAGTACTGGTGCCAGTCTTGTCTTGTGTGACTGTCTTCAGACTTGGCCTAGACATTAGAGTGGTTAAACGGCCAGCAGCAGCTCTGCACTCATGCCCCATTATACTCCCAGTAAAGCTGCACCTCCATATGATCTAAGGAAGAGGAATTCCTGAAGTTCCTCAAAAAGAAGGGCTTGGGTATTGCTATGCCACCTCTTTCTCCTTCCTCTTCCATGTGTCCAAGACTTACCAAAGCCAATACAGCAGATAAGCTAGATTGCAGTAAGTACTGCACGGTGCTGCCTGGCTCCTCTGAGCTCCCATCTGTGAGGCCTCCCACCACCTCCAACAGCATAGTAAGGGCATTTGGAAGAGCAAGCCTCAGAGAGGGTTGGAGAGAGAAAAAAAGTCTTTAAATTCCTTGGCCACAGGTGGTGTGGCTTGCAAACAGAGAGAGCATCTGCTGGGGTTGGGTGGGCAGAAGCAAGCAGTTACCAAATGAGTCCCAAGTATTATTTTTTTTTGTAAATATTGGCATCGTTGTCGCATCAGAGTGTAGTCCTTCAGGATAACTCACGGAGAAGTTTTGTCTCTGTCCAGCCCAGCTTGCACAGACAAGCTATTTCCTGGGGCACTTGAAATTTCTCTTGCTCCTCTTCTTCATAAAATGCTGCACCGTGGGCTACCAGGAGCTGGTCACCCAAAGCTCAGAGCTTCAAATTCAACACGTGCTGGAGCTATTTTAAGACTAATCCTGTAACTACTGCTGAGTCTGTACCACCGCCCCCCACCCCCTGTGGAGGTGGTGGGAAGGGTTATTTATTTATTGCAAGTTCTTTTATTTATTAATGTGCTCGCTAACTGCGCTTTCTCTCCCACCCCTCAGTGAGTGACTGTGACAGCCTGGCAATAAAGCACGCTGCGTAAGGCCACTGCTGCCTCTGGCCTCTTCTGGTAGCACCCTGGGTGAGCTGTATTGGGGGGGACACAGGAGCCCTCTTGGGTCACCCCACCAGACCCCATCTTGCCTGGGGAAGGCGATGGCACCACCCCAACCCAGCCCTCACCCCAGGTACCATCATGGTACAACCATGGGACCATCAACCATGCACCAGGGACAAAAGCCCAAGAAGGCCTGACCCTCACACCCTCCCCTCCTGCCCCCACCGCAGGAGTAACCCTTCCCCCCTCCCACCCCCAGGTACCACAGCCCCAAGTGGTGGAGACCATCTCTTAGATGACACAGAGGTATTGACAAACTTCAGAACAGCCCCAGCCGCTCTTTTTGCTAATAATTAGTGTGTAACTAGTCCCTTTTCCCCCACCACCACCCTTTTTCTTACTACCCAGTCCTCAACACCAGTCAAAGGAAGAGAAAAAAACATGCTCTTGTTAAAACCAGAGTCAGGAGCAGAGAGCCAAGTTGAACAGGACTAAAAGGACAGTCCTCACTCGCTGCTGCACTTCAGAAGTCCACGTCACGGTGAAGACAGAGGCTCAAGGACTTCAACCTCAGTCCAAAGTCAGGCAACAAAACAACCAGGGATCCAGTACATCTCTTTACAGTACTTCTTTACCTGGGCCTTTTTTGCTGATGACGTAATTAGAAGCTAAAAAAATAATCTTTGCTTTGTTTGATTTTTTTTTTCCCCTCCTGCATCAATATAAGCTGGTTTACAAGACAGTAAAAAGGATTATCCCATGGCAAAAGTCAGACCCTGCAAATAGAGAGGACTCCAGGCTACCATGGACTGGGAGCACTGAGCAGAACCAAGAAAACCCAGCCATGTCCAGGTAACATGATGTTCAGAAAAATAGCATTCCCCTTTCCTCTGTCACTTGGTGAGCTAAGGTACGGGCCAAGGAGGAGAGGAGCACTGATGAGGGCAGCCGAGGAGTTCCTGTCACACCTTTTACAGCAGTGAGGTTACACCTGTGAGAAGGCCTGTCCCCACTGGCTAGTAGATAGCAGTGGGTATGAGGGCACATTGAATTTTAATAGAGTGGAATCCAGAGATATTTGGAAAGCATCCTGGGCACAGCCACGTCCTGACCCACTCTGCTTACCTTCACCCCTCCCCCCCCAACCCCAGACAAACTAAGACGATCCTGCAGAGTTTATTCCAGGCAAAGGTGGCATGGGTGCCTCTTGCTGGCTTCCCTTTGAGTTGCAGTCCCTGGGTCATCAATATGAGCCATAACGATCCTGGGGAGGAAACACACCAAGACACCACGCTACAACACTTGATGCAAACTCCAGAAACAGACAACAAAGTCTTGGGGTGTTTGGGATCTAGATGGGATACCACAAGAAGGCACGGCCTTAATTTTAAGTTCTGCCTGGGGTTTGTGGGAAAGGGCATATCTGACATAACAATGTGTCACCAGCAGGAGATTGGGGTGTTTGGGATCTAGATGGGATACCAAAATTAAGGCCGTGCCTTTGTGTAAGTTCTGCCTGGGGTTTGTAGGAAAGGGCATATCTGACATAACAACGTGTCACCAGCAGGAGAAGGTTGGCCAAGCAAAGTTCACTGGCCACCTGGAATTGCTATTGTAGTGTAGTCATCAGCTACAAAAGACAGGACTCTACCAGGAACTTCCCACATAATTTGAGAAGACAACAACAACCCCAGCAGAAGCCAGAAGATGGTGAAAGTCTCTATCTGAAGGTGCCACAGTGTAATCTCACCTGGAGGGAGTTCATCACCCCGTTGGCTAGGACAGCCATCTTTCCAGCAACTGATTTCACTCCTTGCTTGAACTGTGCAATGTCAGCTGCAGGCAGGACATTTCCAATTGACACGCCACCTACGAGAACCAGCAGGAGTTAGCCCAGAGTCCCCCAACCCCAGAGGGCACACCCTGACCTCCTCCAGTCTGAGTCCTCCAAAGCTGCCCCCTTCCATCACCCCCTTGAGTGCTAACACACCTGAGTGTGTGTTCTCAGCCTCCCCAAACAGGTCTGCAGAGCTGATGGCGCTGCTGCCCGAGAGCTGCTGCAGTCGGGATCTGGCTTCGTACTGCAGCAGAAAACAAAACAAGGAGTTTATAAAGGAAGGGAACAGAGTAGGAGCTGAGCAAACAAGAGGAGATAAAAGCCAGAGCTGTACCAGCAGAATGCACCTACCTCAGCATCTGCCTCCCGCCCAAAGAACATATCTGAAGAGATAGCTTTAGCCCCTGCAAACTTCTGCCGAGCTTCATTGGATTCCACAACGGTTGTCCTGTTCTCTGTCTCCCGCCTACTGGTGGGTCTGAGGAAACAAGAGAGTAGACATCATCATCTCAGCTTAACCTCACCAACACAGTAAAGAACCAGACCTCTCAGACCCCATCTGATCAAAGGAAAGCAACAGATCCTTATGTGAACCCTCAGGGCTCTCCTCTCCCCACCTCAGGACAGCCAGCACTTGATGATCATAAGGGCTCTATCAAACTTGGGCACTTCTCTCCATGTCGTGTCCCTAAGCCTCTTTCACTCAAAGCCCTTCTTGGGCTCATCCATGTGAGTTATCTTCTGCAGCACAAGGCTCCTGTCATAATACAACCACACCTCTTCCCACAGCTCCTAGATCTGTCCCTTTGTCCCACACCCACAGAAGGTACCACAGCAGTGGCAGGCACATTACCTCTCTGAAACTGGCCGAATACTGGAAATGGTCACCTCAGGTTCCTCCTCTTTGTCCATACCCCATGAAGAGTCCGTTTCCCATCGTGAGCCAAACGCATCTTCGAATGAGAAGGGACTATATTTGTACCTAGGCACCAAAAATAGGCAAGTTAGGCCACACATGAAATTCGGGAATAAGCCAAAGGCTACACTGAAGCTAAGTCTTACTTTGGGGGTCCAGATGTGAAGCTTCCACCATCTTCAAACAAGTCCAATTGGGAGCGGGAAGATTTTGCAGCCAGCGGCGTCTCCTGCTCAATTACTTGCATCTCAGACATCACTGAGTGTGAAACAGAACTGGCACAAAGAACAAGCAGTGAGGGCCAGCAGGTCTGACATCAGCCAACCCCAACAACCAGTCTACCCCAAACCTCAACCTGGCCTTCACGGGCAGGGTAGATGCCCCCCAGTCTCAAAGGAGAGCTGTGAGATCCCTTCACAGCTTACCCTGACTCCCTCAGAAGCCTTGAGCTACCTTCTTAAGGGAATTATTCTGCAGGGGGACATCTGTCAAGCAGCAGGGTTTTGGGGCTAGAGGTTCAGGCTGGATATTAGGAAAAAATTTTTCACTGAAAGGGTTATCAGGCATTGGAATGGGCTGCCCAGGGAGGTGGTTGAGGCACCATCCCTGGAGGTGATCAAAAGACGGGTTGATGTAGTGCTGGGAGGTCTGGTTTAGTGATGGTGATGCTTCTTGTTTGTTGTGCGGGTGTCTATTTTTGTCAGTTAGGTTGACGGTTGGACAAGATGATCTTTAAGGTCCCTTCCAACCTAGAAGATTCTGTGATTCTGTGAGGCCACGTGCGTCTTTGGAAAAGCTTGAATGAGAACTAGAACCTCTGAAGAGAGTGCACATTCCTTCTGGAGCCTGAAGCATTTTCAGACATAGTCCAGCATATAAACACTTTAGATCAGCTCCCTGGCTGTCATAAAAGCAGCAAGCTACCAACTACAGGAAACTTTTCCAGAGCAGGGTGCTCCCAAGGCACCTTGCTGTCCTATGCCATCCACAGCTAAGTACCTTCTGGACACCAGGCCCATGCCCAGCCTCTCTGCTTGTTCACGCTTCTTCCCTTCAAGGTTCTGAAGTTTCTTCTCTTCCTTCTTCCGATCGAGCTGCAGCTCCTGATAAGCCAGTCGCATGGAGGTGACTCTAAAGGAAAGAGCTACGGTGGGTACCAGCTCGTTACCCACCCCCCAGCCCATGCTGTGGAGGAGCAAGGGAGAGAGTAACCCTGACAATCCACCAAAACACCCATTTCCCCAACAGCTCTGCCAAAAATCCTTGCGTGGAAGCTACTGCTTGCCTTCCCATCTCACCCTCACCGGGATTTAATTCTTTTTTGGCTAACCATGATTTCCTTAGAATAAGCATTCCGCCCCACCCGACAGAACACCCCATCCAGTTCAGCCTTTGCCTTTTTCAGTCCTGTCCAAAGGTCAACAGAAACAAAAACCACTTCCCTATCTGCTCCTTAAACTCTTCCAGGAATGCTAATTTGAATAAAATATGGCAGTATAACTTGTGCCCTGCTATAAGGGCCATATTGGCTTACAGCTACTGCTCATCCCACCGTGCAGCAAGTTCTCTACTCACACTAGGTGAGTACAGTCACTGGGGTGACCAGCATTAATGTTGAATTACTTCTGCTGTACGTATGCAAGGTGTTCAGCCCCAACGGGGCACTTACATGGACTCCTCTGCTTGTTTCCTGGACTCCACTGCTTGCTGCTCCCTCAGCTGCTCCGCCACCTGGGCTTGCCGCTCGATCTCACTGAAGCTCTGGCTGCTCACCTTCTGGGCTCCAAGACCTTTCTTTGCACCCAACTTGAAAAACAAAACAAAAAAAAAAACCAAAAAAATGTGATTTCTTCACCCTAGATTGTTCACTGTAGAAGAAAACCACAATCCACTCCTTGCTGGACTGATGAGGGCTTCGGTCTCCCTGTGTAGTCACAACCTACAGACCCAATAGAGCTCCCAACAGACTGTGGAAGAACACCCAAGAGTCAACCCACCAGTGGCCAGCACTAAGAGATCAGCCACATACACTTCAGACCATAACGAGCAATGGGCCAAAACCTAATTGGTTTTGTCCATTAATATACAAGCTGTCTTTCAAAATAAGCAGCGATATAATCAAAGCTCCCCCTTCTCCAAGCAGATCTCTCAGTAGACAGCTTTGTTAAGGGCAAAAAAGCCAAGGGCCAGGGAAAGGAAAGCAGTGATGTGAGACATGCTCTACCTCCTCTTCATAA